AAAATCTTCTGTAAGGAAATCCTTACTTTTACAAAATATAAATCTCAGGAAAAAAGTTCAATTGCTATCCACAGAATTGTTAAATGTGCAACAAGGACAATCAGTACAATAGATGCTCATTGAAATTGCTTTTTCCTTGGTGTGAGATGTCAAGGATTGTAACAGACTGTAAACAGTCTTTAGCATTTTTGGACAGATATAAGCTTGAACCTGTTTCAGTACAAGCTCTAGACAGTGAAGGAAGGCAAAGCCAGATATCTGTGAAGGGGAACATGGTCAAAGAGGTCTTTCCTCCTGAGTTTAACAAAGTTGTTTATCTGAAAGATTCAGAAGGTATTTCGAACAAGGCTTACCATGAATTATCTATGATAGTACCTTCTCTTCCAAGATCACACAAGTTTCTTAAAACATCCAGGAATGCAACGAAATGTTTTAATTCATGTCACATCATATCCAAGCTTTGGGGTTCAGCAGTTTTGAAAGAAAGACTCATTAACTGTGTTTCACATATTCTAGAAATGAAACACGACAGCACCAGCATTTTACAAACACAACAGATGATGGCCCACAGTTTGGGAGTAGGGAGACTTTTCAGTTTGGGGTTCACAATATCAGATGATATGTTGTGTACTTAAGTAAAGGATAACCATCTGTCAGTAGTATTTTCTGCAAAGGAAACTTATGAATGTTTTTCAACTGCCCTTTCTCAAATTATCGAAGAAGCAAAGGGCTTGGAATATATTCATCTTGACGACGTATGTTCGAAAAATCAAGTTTTATCTGGGAGGCGATTTGAAATTTCTCAATATGGTCTCTGGATTTGCGTCCTGTTCGTGTAAACAAAGGTGTCTTTAGTGTAAATGATACTTCTTTGCAGTGGTCAGTGACTGACGTGAACCATGGGGACCGAACACTGAGTTGGCCAGACAGAAATCACAAAATTTTAACCGTTTCCACACTCCCCTCTTTGATTTTATACCTCTCTGGAGGGGAATACCTGGCATGTTACACATGTAAGTTCGTATTTCTGATCAATTGGTGAATCATTTGATATCAGAACTCCGGTTAAGGGACAACATTGCCAGATGCACCAGTATTTACATCAGAGGCAAGTGCGCAAATGTATCAAAATTTGAAAATTTTGTTGAAGGATTGGGAGGTTTTCAATTCAGAAATGATAGATGGGAGGTAGGTTTAATTTAGAGATTTTACTAGTCCTGAGCACAGAAACATTGCAGATAACATATTCCTGGCTGATTTCATTCCCTAGATATCTTTGTTGTGAAGCTTTAGCTCTTGGTGAGAGATATAAAAGGTGGGTGGCCACTTTTTGACTTGTTTACCAAAGGAATTTGTATATTTTGGCATATCACATCACAGATATGCTTAAATTACATGGTAATTTGGGGACATTCAGACAACAAGGATTTGAAAAGTAAAATGACACTACAAGTAAGTGGTATTACTGTTCTACTTCTAATAAGGGCAGGGCCGCTCTTGTGTGCGGTCACAGTAAACGTTGATGTGACCTGAGCGTCTGAGACGTAATGTAGTAGGCAATTTGTAGGAGTGATCATTATAACAGGATCTGTTTAATACAGTATGATAGTTTAGCACTAGTGCTTCCTTGAGTGTAAATGCACTTCCTCTTGTTTATGGTAAGGATATCTTTTGATCAGAAAGAATTTTATATACAATTGTGATATCTAGAATTCAGAGAATTAGTCTTGAAGTATAATAGCATTGTGAGTTCCTGGTGTTGCTGTCAGTAATGCTCTTTCTTGAGTGAACTGGGTGAGTGAATGAGTTGGGTTTAACGCCGCTTGAACAGTATTCCAGTTATATCACATCGTGTCAGCTTGATGTGCCTGATAAGACCGTAGGGATTAAAGTCTCAGAACTTTACCACTTTTCCGAAACCCACGAGCACTGGAATGGTGCTGACAAACCCAGAAACATAACAGAAGTGATATAAACATCACATGTGATCTGGTGAACTGGTATTCGAACCCACATTTAGATAGTGATTTCGCGGAGATCTTGGACAGTTACTTGAAACAATTTGGAAGCAAACGTTTTGGTCTAGTGAAAGAAGTGAATTTTGAAATGTCACTGCATGTTTATTCGTGTTTCATTTTGTGGAACCTATCCATCGTGCAGGTTCATTCAAACAATACCAATACCAAAGCGTCTCCCGTTTGACGACTAACATATTACCACTGTGACACTCTCTATCCAACACCTGCTGTCATCGTGCTAATTGTTAGGATCCATGAATGCAGCTTTTATACATTCATTGCTTTCATAGCTCTTCCTTTTTCACAGATACGAATTTCACATCGTGGACTGTTGCTGCTTTAAACAAATATATCGCTCATGACTAAATATGTGTTTATTTATCATACTGGTGTGTTAGCTCAATGTTATATGTATTTCTATGGTGAACATAACAACGCAGAAAGTATAAATACATGATGCAATTTTTTATTCATGAAAAATGTAGCTTTGTCATACGAGTTCCACATGGGAGCACACACGGCTATTGACACTGTATCTTATTATTAGATAGTCCATGGATCCTTTGATCTTGGTAAATTCAAATGTTCATGGTGTGATAGCCCCAGGTACAATTATCCACGTGGGTCCATTGCGTGGAGCCCATCCCTTGTGTCCCCACGGAGGCGGTCTAGTGGTTTTAGGAGCAATGCCCCACTCCATCGTACGTTGAAGACAAGCTATCAGCCAAGTCACCGAGCCTGCCCAACCGATCTGCTAGTCGCTTAATACGACCAGCATGGCTGCTGGGGACCAATTCTAATCCGGAAACAGAACTGGGCTGTCCCCAAGTACTCCTAATAAGAACCAACTGAGGATTGGTTGGTTTCAATGTCACCTGGCTGGTTATGTGTCGCCGAGCCACAGAAGGGTGGATCGATGCTTATGCAATTCAATTCTTTATTTGATGAGGTGTAGGCAAGGGCCAATTATTTCATTTGGTACCACGTGTGACTTGTTATTACAGTAATGAGTTGGGTTTAAGGTCGCTTTGAACAGTGTTCCAGTTATATCACAAGCGTGACAGCTTAATGTGGGAGGAAAGCCCGAAATGACGCAGGTCTCAGTCGTTTACCATTTTGGTGACAGGTATGGTGCTGACAAACCTGGAAACATAATCTTGGCGGACCGGGATTCGAACCCACAAGAATAGGTGTCGTTAGCGTCCAAGGGACTCAACTCAGCATAGCGAAAATTTGGGCTCTTTAGACTACTAGGCCACCCGTTCCCTAATAGCTACAACAACAGAAAGTATCGATTTTTACACATTCACTCGACCCGTGAAGATTCCGGGGTAGAATAAGTCTTCAGCAACCCATACTTGCCGTACAAGGCGACTATGCTTGTCGTAAAAGGCGACTAACGGGATCGGGTAGTCAGGCTCGCTGACTTGGTTGATACATGTCATCGATCCCAGTTGCGTGGATCGATGCTCATGCTGTCAATCACTGGATTGTCTGGTCCAGACTCGATTATTTTACAGACCGCCGTCATATAGCTGGAATATTGCTGAGTGCGGCGTTAAACAACAAACAAACAAACAAACAAAACAAACAAACACATTCACTTAGAAGTACAGAGGCATTAGCATGATAGATTGTTACGTTTTGGACTGTGTTGAAGTCTCTGGTCGACACTATCAGATAAAAGTTGTGTTTGGACCTCCCTACCCTATCCCCAATCAAAGTTGAAGAGGAAAAGTTGTTGCATGATTTATAGGGATCACGTTCTGGTGCATTTGGCATGATGGATTCAAATGATTGCTTTGTTCCCATTGTTATTACTATAGTCACAAAGGTAATGTCACTTATGTTTAATATAAACGATATGATCTTATTGGTTCAAAGTCAGTTTGTTAACAGGATAGGAATTCATCATATACTATCATTATTAATTATGTTTTGATTCATTAGAAAGTTAACATTCACTGTATATCGTTATATGAACATAACAGAAGTGATATGAACACAACAGAGGAGATATGGTGTTTGTTTGTTTGTTTGTTTGTTTGTTGTTTGACACCAACTCAGCAAAATTCCAGCTTCAATACGGCGGTCTGTAAATATTAGAGACCTATTCTAACCCGGATCTTAATTTTGTATGGATGTCGGCAACACATATTTACGATTTTACTACTTGTGCGTTTCTTCTTTTGCTGAGTATATATCATCAATCGTACAAAAGGATAATCAAGACACCCACATCGCCTCGGATATATCGTTGCAGCTCTTCTGAGGAGGCAGCGTATGATGAGAAAGGAACTATTATTCAAGATTGATACTTGTCCCAGACTGAGACTACCATCTTCCCGAGGCAGATGAGTTAACGGACTATAAAAGTCCAGTTTTCACTTTTAAAGTCAGTTAACTCCCTTGCATCGGGAAGATGGAGACTACAGGAACAACTATAATTTGAATTTTTTGTCCTGAAATGTTGATTTGAAAACTGATTCATTGATCATTTTACAAAGATTGTTGAAGGAACGTGTCAAAGTTGCCCTTAACAGCGAACTGTTTTAGTGTTCCGCGTTTGTCTCTTTTCCAACATGGCGGTAAAGGTTTTCGAACGGTTTATCTGCTCACGTGGCGGACAGTGCTCATATTGTATGTCAAAACATTTCACCTTTCATAAATAAATATATATTAACCGTTAAACATATCAAGTGGAACGAGTGATATATTATCATATATTTTGTCCTCTTTGTTTTGTGTTTTTCATTTTGAATTTACACTCAAAATAAAGATAAGGTGAAATGATTAAAATATGAAATGCGTTTTCTTTATTATTCTAAAATCAAACGTATCCATTTTCAACATCAAATATGGAGGTTTACTGAAATAAATAAACTACAATAACACAATAGGGAGCATTATCTCTTTATAGCCACCTTGATCGTCTCTAATGACTATAAATACCAATGCCCATGTGCCATTTTCAGTCGCTGAAGACATCTTACAATATGGTGCCTACAACGTTCCTCTGTTTGTGCGTTGTCTCTGCCGCTGCTGGTGGTGGACGTAAGTACTTTTGTTTGTCTTTAAAAGTTAACAAATTGCAAGTGTGCATTGTAATGAACTAAAAGCCTTCGCCTCCTTTATGTGTACATTAAACTACGGTTATAACGAATACGCTTATAACGAACTGACGGATATAACGAACTTTCTTTTTTGGTCCCGTTTATTTGCTGTAGTTATGCTGTATATATGCTTATAACGAACTACGGCTATACCGTACTAAAAGTAGTTGTCCCCATGAGTTCGTTATAACCGTAGTTTACTGTACTTATGTATTATATTGGTATACACGTACTCACTACTTCCGCGGTACTTAACCTTTCCGGAAACTATCAATATCTATTGATTATTTGCAGCTATGATCTCAGAAATATTGTTCTAGCTATTACTCTTACTGGTTCGCCCACCCTTCTTTCACATCTCAGGACATTTCACAACCAATATTGGAAAACTGCACTTTTGACAAATATTAAGATGTATCCTGCGCTTTTCATGCCAGTTTCATAGTGCTAGCCGATGCCGCGTACCCGGCAGGGTAACAACAAATACCATATTTTACGCGACACAAAACGCTATAACTAGACTTTATGACCACAAATTTAGCTATATCAGACCATATCCGAGACAACCTAAACCACAACATTCAGTGGGATAAAGTAAAAGCCCTCACCACTAACCTCAAAGACTTAAAACTCAGAAAACTACAAAGCCATCAACATCAAAAGACTCCAACTGTCGATCAACCATGACCAATGATATCATAACTACATCTGATATCTACTCTACTGTATAAACATTGCCTTCTACCTGTATATATACTTGTCAACCATACTCTGTATATCACTCAGCCTCAGCACTACACAATAAGCAATCTAAAAAACACCAAAAAATCCTCATCCTAACCGACTCCCTCAGTGGACTACAAGCCCTCAAAAATAAAAACACTAAAAACCGCCCCAAACTAATAAATCAAATACTCAAAAGCTCAAACAACTTAGCTAAGTCAGGTAAACAAATAGAGTTCATTTGGATCCCCGCCCACGTAGGAATCTTTGTAAATGGAAACGCAGATAAAGAAGCAAAATTATCCCTGAAACTCCCAGAAATAAGCTTAATCTTACCCAGCTCAAAATCAGAAATCAAAAGTGTCACTAAACAAAAAATCAACAAAAAATGGCAAAATATATACCAAAACTCAAATAGCCAAATCAGGAAAGTACTAAAAAAAACCTAACTAAACAAAAAAAACTACACCCATCCAAAAACATCGACTGAATAATTACTAAACTACAAACAGGCCACACCAAACTAAATAATCACCGTAAAATAGCTAATCTACACACAACAGGAAACTGCCCACATTGAAGACAACATGAAACACCAGAACACCTACTCATTCACTGCACACACTACCAAACACACCGAACAACACTACAGACCACCCTAAATCTTAAAACCGCACTTACACTAGAATCAATCCTAAATCCACAAAATAAATTAGAAAAATTCAAAGCCTTAGGCATATACCTAATTAAAACAGGACTAATTAGTCGCATTTAAACACCAAATAAAATATTAAATCCCAAACTACCTAATTTAATATCAACCAAACACACACAGCTCTGTTACAACCCGTTACAACCCGTTTTGTAATAAAGTTGCAAAGTGTAATAATTATTACAAAACGGGTTGAGAGTCTTATTACAAAGTGAAATGCACATAGCAACCCGATTTGTAATAAAGTTGCAAAGTGTAATAAACTTGGTGAATGATGCTGAAAGTGTTCAATTGGCACCCATAACTTGCTTATAAGTTCAATTAGGAACACAAACGGTATTTACGTTAAGATTGGTCGTCATCATATCTACTTCGGATGAAAGTTGACCTAACATTGGAATCGTTTCAAAGTGTAAAAATTATTACAAAATGGGTTGAGAGTTTTAGTACAAAGTGAAATGCACATAGCAACCCGTTTTGTAATAAAGTTGCAAAGTGTAATAAACTTGGTGAATGATGCTGAAAGTGTTCAATTGGCACATGTTCTGAAGAAAGTTAAGTTCCATTGCAAAGTGGCTGTTACGAGGTAAATTGTAATAAAAAGGTAAATTGTAATACTTGCAGCAAATTGCAATAATTTTGACGTAAATTGTAATACGCAAATTGTAAAAAAAATTGACGTGAATTGTAAGAATCTCTACTTGCGGTAAAATTTAATTAATTCTTACGTAAAATGTAATAATCTTACTACCATAGTGTCCAAGACGCCAATTGACTAGAAAAGATCTTTGTCAGTTGACCTTGCGTTTCACACGTACAATTCGAAAAATACTATGTATGATGACAAACGTACAAAACTGTTAAGTTAGGGGTGATTGATATAGGCTTTATCGTACAATCGTCATTAAAGGGTGGTGTCAACATCGATAAATTTAAATGACTGAAAGATCCATCCTTGGGTGCAAAATGATGGGTTACACAACCGTATATTCGACAAATAACTTAATTGTGACATATTGTTCAATTCTCTTATAAGGCTATTCAAAATGTTTTTTGCATGACTTGCTTCAACAGTACGTTGACCAGTTCGACACGACTTAACGAGTGATGACGTAAAAGTGTGTAAAAATGTGAATAAAACAGACTATTGTGAAACAGGGCATAATCAGGTGTAAGTAGATCAAGGTGACCTATGACACCTTGACGACAGGTGAGAACAGGTGCATAATGCCTATAGCCTGTTTCTGCTATGTCAATTTGGACTTAGTTTTATTTTTGAATGTTGAAAGTGCCGACAAATTACCTCCTGTAAAGTACATTTTGTATTGTTCACTGAGATCAAACTAGCAAATCCAGACTAGTACTTTTCGAGTTGTTTTGTTATTTCGTATTTACAGCTACGTAACACTTTGTGTCGATTTTTAAATTGAGAAAACAAATTTTTTTCCATTTCCGTGAGTACTTTTAACACCGTATTCGTGCGTGCGTGATTCCCGTGCACCCTTTCGAGTTGAGGTGATTGGTTCAACTGTGTCATATGGCCCTGTGACGCAGGGGTAGCATTAAGCAGATGGCTGTTACAATGAATGCTCGTTCCACCCGTGACGAACAGGTCTGGTTGTTGATGAAATAAAATGATAGCTAAATAGACAGATTTTTTATTCATGCACCGATTGTCTTTAAATGTTATATCCAGTTATGTATGATTGTTTAATAATCTCATACTAACTTTGACTGGAGTAGGTCCAATAGTTTTTCAGATATTGTAGTAAACGTCGGTACCTTAAAATAACTTCCAGACTTTTTTTTATAGATGAGACACCTGTAGTATATATACGTGTATTCGTGATATTATTCGATTTTTCGTCGATGAACTTAGTCCACTTCAGAATGAAGTCAAGAGGAATTAAAAATATTTGATTACTGGTGAAAGAAACCAAATATATTCATTTTCTACTGCTTCAACGTATTTTCACGATCTCTTACAGCTTACAATCGTGTTTGGCACATTGGATCCAAACGGAAAGACATCATGGCACGGGAGCGTAGGCTTCTGAGCTCTAGAGTCAGGTACATACCTTGTTTTTGTAGCAATGGTTTTAATGCAAAATATACAACTATATCATTAACTGCTATGTGGTGTTTAAAGGGAATATATTAATACTTTTGCAGAACTTTTCCATTGGGCCACTGTGATGTCGATTTTCTCTCATGACAATAATGCTCACTCGTTTTATAAACATGTCGTGTATTCACAGGATATTCGTGAATGTAGGTCCTCAACCCCCGCTTTCATCATGTTTGAATTCTGTTCTTACATACACACAAATAGGAACAGTTCTGAGGCATCAGCTCTTTCATGTTTTCCTTTACACCTGTTGATAGGTCTGATGGTTATTACACTTCTGAAATTATACCAGCGAATGATACAATTACTTACGATTCTAGCGCCTGCGTGGACGACTTCACAATCCGCCCATTGAGTGGAATCTGCAACAACCTCAACAACCCTGGATGGGGAGCGCCTCTACAGGACCTGAGGAGACTCATCGCCCCAGACTATGATGACGGTATGCGCTTCACCGGGGAACCATTCACCATGTACACGTGTATTTTCACGTACCGTTATTACATACACACATATATAGGCACAGATACACACACACAGGGATACAAACACAGGTACACACATATACACACACGCATAGGCACAGACACACATACACAGAGATACACAAACAGGCACACACACATACACACAAATAGGCACAGACACACATACATACACACACAAACAGAGAGAAACATTTCCCTTTCATTCAAGTTTCCCATTGCTGTGATTTTCGATACCATTTCTTGCTAGGAAATTATCGTGTCCGGTGATCGTGTCCAATTCTCTTCATAATTTTACCATATGTCATATTTTATTATGTACATAACACGCCATTTTTCTTATTCTATTCCTAGTTTAGTGTTAATCAACTGTGCATTAAGGATTTTCCTTAGGATAATAAAGTTTAATCTTATCTTACATATGATTGAGTGACTGGGCGCGAGCGTCCGTACGTGAGTGAGTGAGTGAGTTAGTGACTGGGCGCGAGCGTCCGTGCGTGAGTAAGTGAGTGAGTGAGTGGGTGAGTTGGAGGGAGGGAGTGGGGACGGGACGTTCCACCCCATGGATCATACAGAAACACGAACTCTATCCAAAAGAATCTTGTTTATGATTTCAGGTAAAGGTACCCCTCGTTTCGATGGCCTGCCAAGTCCTCGGGCGGTCAGTACGGGTTGTTTCTCCGTCGACAGTGACAGTACACTGGAGCCCAGCATCAACGCGCTAGTCATGCAGTGGGGACAGTTCATGGCTCACGACTACGTTGGGACGCCCAAGTTTAAAAGTAATAACTTACCTTTCTTCTCCATGTATTGGAGTGGTCTATTATGTCTCAAAGTGAGATTGACCAATCAGAAAGCAGAACTACTATAAGCCCATGTACTGTCAATAAAAAAATCCAAGGTGGTTGTTACTGACCTAATGTTAGACCGTACGCCATCAGAAACAGTCATCCTTGGACTTTTTTACTGACGATATATTATTAGTTATGGTGTCTTAAGTTGCCGTAGACGGTGCCAACCTAAAATGACACCGTATACGGCAACTAAAGACACCATAACGAATTTATTATGCCGAGAGTTTCCCCTTTGTGGTATCCATATCGCACATTTTGCCTTTTATCAGAGATTTCCTCATCGGTGCTACTAACAAAGCGTTTGGCAGCCATTACTGATGTCAAAGGGAGACCACTCTTCAAACCTTCGAGGCAAAACCTTGTTGAAAATTTTAACTATAATCTTTATGACTTATGTGATCTAAAAACAGATTAATGTCTTTTCATATCACAATTAATGACAGTAAAACACAAAACAGTGTCAAATAACGAATTTCGGTACCAGTATTTCCATGTGAAATATGTGAGGCAGGTGTTGGAAAATCCAAGATGGCTTTTACTGACGGTATACGGGCTCATGTGGGGTCAGTAGTTATGCTCTCTGGTTGGTCAAACTCACTTTGAGGTATAATAAGGGCTTATAGTTGTTCTGCTTTCTGATTGGTCAATCTCACCCACCTCACATATTTCACATGAAAATCCTGGTACAGAAATTCGTCACTCGACACTGTTTTGAATTTAAATATGATTAATTGTGATCTGCAAAGTTAATATTGTTTTAAAGAAACCGTGTTCGTGAATTTATTTATAAGAATTATGGAGAAAAAACTCACGCGGAGGTTACTGATTTACAAAAATACAACGTCAAAGAACATTATATGGGATGACGTCACAAAAAGGAAACGTGACGCCAATGCCGCCAAATACTTGCATTAGTCAGTTCTATACCGATTTCCGAAAAAGCGCGTTTGTTTACAAACAAGAAAAAAGTCCGGTCACGTGATATGCAAATTAGCCTGTGGCAGTGGTGTCATTCTGAGTCACCAGTGCGCTGGAGTGTGAGAATAGATAGCAGTCCGTTGTTAGGGAAAATTGAGCTCCTATCAAGTTACAGAGGCATGCAGATTTCCTTTACCATGCGGACAATGTTATGATAAGTCTATCCATTTTAGCTGTAATACTTGTTTAGACGCTTAGTGCACTATTTTTTCTATTGTTAACGTCTGTGTTACAATAAAGCGTTGTATCGAAAACATAAGTTCTGTATATGGTCCTGTAATTTATACCGGTTGTAAGAGTCAAGTTTTTATTTTGACATGACGTGCAATAAAGATATCAGATAGTGTAAATTTTTCGGCATATTAAACTCGTTACGGTGTCTCTAGTTGCCGTACACGGTGTCATATTAGGCCAGCAGCAACGAATTGGGACCGGCTTCTGCTAACCTCATATGACACCGTATACGGCAACTAAAGACACCATAACTAATAGTATACCAACACAAAATATAGATGCTTAGGTACCGTGTCCCTTGGCCGTACCAGGATCCGCTGAACAAAGCTTTGAATCCCAGATTCGCCTAATTATGATCAGCCCCAGCACCCTACCCGTGCTGGTTTCGCAAAGCGAGAATTCTTTCAAAGGTCCTCATTGCTAGAGATACGAGTATTTTCTGTACTCCTAATATTATAGCATCATAAAACAGCTTCCTTATATGAATATATGATTTAGTTAATAAGAATGAATTTCTTTTCTAACGTTTCACATAAACCATACTATTGTCCATGTTTTCAGCAAAGAATTGCTGCTCCGGCATCGATGCTGACGGCAAACACCCGGACATTGACACAGAGTGAGACAACTTTGGATACATTTATAAATTATTGTGCCAGCACTATATGAGCACTATATATACATTAAACAAGAGCCATCCTGTTATACTTAGCGTATTTTGTGAGAACAACTCACTGTTTAAAATGAAATCGTAATTTAAACGTTATTCTATGTGACGCATTTTTTAAGGGAACATTATGTCGCACATTACGTTATTCTGATTAACAACTCCTGCAAGGTTTTCTATGAATACAGTTCTCAAGGATGGGCAACGCCACGTTGTCAAGAATATTGATATCACACACAATATGTGTTTCAAATCAGATACTGAATCAACTGACACGCCTTTGTATTGGTCAGTGCGCTTTTAAAATTCCTCATGAATATTTCATCAATAAATATTTTCTACTTTTAGTGGAACGTGCTTCCCAATCGCCATACCGTCCGGTGACCGCCACTTTAACGATTGCATACCATTCACCCGATCTGAACCCTCCACACTCTGTAAATATAACCTGTTTATATATCGTTTGATCATACTGTTGCACAGAAGCACATGTTCATCTGTTGTGGTAAAATTACCTGGTCATCCAGACATAATGACTGCACCGTATGGCTGCCGAAACAGACCGCAATGAAACAGTCCCATCCATATGCTACACCATATGTGAAAGAATGGCGTAACACAACCATTTTGGTTTCCGTGATGTACCTGAATTATTGGCGTAAAATAACAGTAACTTACTCACTCATTCACTCTGCAGCCACGGACCACAGGGAGCAGATGAACATGCTCACGTCCTACATTGACGGCAATACCGTCTACGGGGGTTCAGTGGAGGAGAACGACCAACTGAGGACGAAATCAGGAGGTATGTGACGTCTGTAATAATAACGTGCAATTTCTGCAACAACCTCTCTCTCTGGGCCCTACCCCTGCTCGCCACTCCTCTCTCTCCTTCTCTCCCTCCCTCCCTCCCTCCCCCCCCCCCTCTCTCTCTGGGGCCTACCCCTGCTCGCCCCTCCTCTCTCTCCCTCTCTCCCTCCCTCCCTCCCAGCATCTAAATTCTGTGGTACCCAATTGCCGGGAGGTGCTTGAAATCTGTGATATACCTGAATTACTGTTCAAAGCACACTTTCAAACGTCTCCGAAGAACACGCATTGCTGGAGTATTTTCTGTACAGTTGATATCATGGCATTACTGGAAAATAACTTTTGTCTAAATATTTTTCTTGGGTCCGGAATTTCAAAGATATGGACGAATACAGTATATTTTCCAAAGTTGTGACACTTTTCTGCCACTTTATTAATGGTACTCCCACATTGTGCAAAGCTTTGCCATTTTGTGGGTGGTAGGTAACATATGGTAATTAAAGTTCTACTCCATTACATAGACACGACAATTGACATCTTTGAATTAATATGTTACTGATGTCAATGGAGGAATCATTCTACACAGCACAATTCATAATTCATTCGTCAGTTTATATTTTTGCATGTATATTTATATTTATATAAAGACATTGAAACCATCGTTATGTGTGATCAGGGTTGATGGCCACCGCCGCTGGGAGCGACAACCTACCCCCCTCTGACACCATGACCTGCGCCAAGAGACCCGGCTACAGCTGTCTGAATGCTGGTAAAAAAACATGAAAACGTCCATAATGTATGATTAAAAAATTCTTAGGTATAAAAGGTTTAATTTTATAACATATCTGTTGGATAAGGATCATTGTATCATGCTCAGTATACATTGGTAATATGTCTGAACACCCTATTAGCATGGGCTCAATAGGTTTCAATTACATCATACTTGACATCAATGGTGATCCTCGAGCCCGATGGCGTGGCCCTTGCTCATGCTATCAACCTCTGGTTTACCTTGCGAAGGGGCGGTGGGGTACCTTAGTGGTCAAAACGTCCGCTCGTCACGCCGAAAGCCCGGGTTAGATTCCCCACATGGGTACAAAGTTTAAAACGAGGCCACCGCTGTGATGTTGCTTGAACATTGCTAAAAGCGGCATAAAACCATACTCACTCACCTGGTGAAGATTCGCGTATAAACAGGCCCCCTAGATATAGCTGAAATATGGCTGAAGTCGGCGTAAAACAACAGTCACTCATCTACACCACAAGCATAAGTTGTTCGTTCATGTAGATCATGCATTGTTACACCCAGGCGTCTCTAGGTCTTCCAAATAAGCTGTCAGATGTGATACACGGGTCCAAGTCGGTTATTTTACCTTTATTCAGAACAATGGCCATGTTGTTGTATTTACGAAAGACGTTATAATCTCAATCACTCCCACACTCATCTTTCAGGCGACTTTCGAGCCAACTCCTTCCCGGGTCTAGCTGCCATGCATACATTATGGGTGCGGGAACACAACAGACTTGCAGTCGGTCTTGCAGCCGAGAACGCCAACTGGAACGACGAGAGGCTCTTCCAGGAAGCTCGCAAGATCGTCATCGCCTCCCTTCAGCGCATCACCTATAACGACTGGCTTGTGAAGGTGCTTGGGCAAACCTACTTCGACGCTTTCAACCTCGGAGCTACATATTCCTATGCTGATACAGTTAACCCGGGATTGATCAACAGCTTTGGCACTGCAGCTAACAGATTTGGCCACTCACAGATTCGCGCCAAGTACAGAATGACGGGCGATGATGTGGACACCAACGTCGAGGACATGATAATGGACCCTTCGTATGTCACTGATGGATTCAAGGAAGTCCTTGAGGGTCTACTTGACGCCCAGAACCAGAAAACTGACGACAAGTTCCCTCTGGGTAGGTGTGAAGAAACTCGTACTGTGTTATGGGTCCCTAATATGTTTGGTACCTCCTTTCTAAGAAAACGATTGTGTGTCTTGTAGCTGCGACTGACCCTCTGACTTACAGAAGCAATACTGGAGGTCGCGTCTGAAAACACTGCTAGTGTTGGTAAATTGTCAAGGTCTCAATATTTTCAGTCCCACTACTCCGAATTTGCAGCCATATGTTTTTACAGAAATATTTACACATCAGAAGTCCCACTAAACGTTAGGTTCTAGTTTGATGGACAAGGATCTATATAGGGAGCTCATTTAAAGTAGTTCCTGCAATATGACCTCATTTGAATATCTTTCACTTCATGACACCAAGTCTGTCGGATCTGACTTTTGAATTGATAACACTATCAAAGATAAGTGGTCCACATGTTCTTGTCGACCCGTGAAGATCTGGGGTAGAATAGAAGGTCAGCAACCCATGCTTGCCGTAAAAGGCGACTATGCTTGTAAGAGGCGACTAACGGGCTGGGCTAGACGTGGTCAGGCTCGCTGACTTGGTTGATACATATTATCGTATCGCAATTGCGTGGATCGATGCTCATGATGTCAATCACTGGACTGTCTGATCCAATATTTACAGACCGCCGTCAAATGGCTGGAATATTGCTGAGTGTGGCGTTAAACAACAAACAACAATATTTAAAATAGTGGCTCTAGAAAGGCTGCTAGTAAGCGGGTTTCAGAAAGTGACTCGTCTGTAACCATCTACATGACAGTGTCGATACTAGTCCCCATAGAAGCATTGTTTGGTTATGCAAATCATTTAAACCCAAGCGTATCTAGCGAATACGAGTCCCTTTGTGTTGAGCAATACTCCTGAAGTTCCAGGCCTTGTCTCCATTTCAAATTCCCTTCCACTCGTCACCCACCTAAAAGTAAAGAGCTGAAAATAAATGATACCTGTTTATCATCCAAAACTGGCTCCCACAGGAGATATCGCTGGGATGAAATTACATCACAATGCTTTGCAGACCATTGTGACGTCACTGGTTACCATGACGTCACAATCAAATGACATCACTAATGGCTCTGCTACTGAAGCTGTCTGAAGTACTTTTTACACTGAAGACACTCCTGTCTACAAATTGGAAAAGTTGAAAGAATGATGCTGGATGATAAATAAAATCTCACCCTCGTGTCTTTTGATATCAAATATATCAACACTCGTTGATAAAAGTGGCAAAAATCCTCGGCAAGCCTCGGAATTCTTCCACTTTTATCAACTCGTGTTGATATATTTGATATCAAAAGACACTCGGGTGAGATTCTCTATGTATCAGTGACAAAAAATATCCACAAAACTGTACGACAAGAAGGATGACTTCAACTTTCCAGTAGCCAACTTACCCTTTGTGTCCAGTCGTCCAACATGTCCAGGTTTTAGCACGCTCGTTATACGATTCTTGTTCAAAAGTTCTTTGACCAGGGTTAAGACATTCAAGGCTCTAGTGAGGATTTCAAAAGGTTTCCCGGCAGACATTTCTAAATTTATCTTTGCATGTATTTGTGATTGATTCCATCGGTGGGGCAGAATACGTTAGTTTTTTACGAACACCTGGTGTCATCCCTATTTGATAGTGTTTTAAAAACCACATGATCGTGATATAGTCGGAATTGTACAATGGACTCTGCTTTTAGCAACGATTGCTGATGAATATGGAAATTGCTTGTCACTTTTATGAAAGTAAGGTGAGGTAAAATGGGGATTAACGTCGCGTCCAAGATTATTGCACTTATATACGTGTATGTGTGTGTGGCTGCTTGTACTAGTCTGGACTGATGCCGATGCCGATTTATAGTGCTAGCCCACTGAGATACCATGCCGCAGTTTAACATGAATACCCCACTCAGACATAGTATACTGACTCCGAGCCGACCAGTCCTTGATTTAGCCCGTCAATGCCGAGCGCCAGACAGGGTTACAACAAGTGCCATCTTTTAACGTCTTTTGGTATGACGCGACAGGGGATTGAACCCCGGACCTTCCGCTCTTCCGGCTCTACCATTAGACCATGGAGTCGGTCTTTTTTTAAAGTAAACTACCAACTCCTGTTTGCCAGGTTTGACGGATCATCTGCTGGAGAACGTCAAGAAACCAGGCGATGCACGAGACTTGATCTCATTTAACATACAGCGAGGTCGGGACCATGGCCTACCTCCTTATGCTGAGTTCCAGGCGAAGGCAGTACAATTTGCCATCGATAAAAAATTGCCTACTCCGACCGCAGCTGATCTTTCATGCGGCAATTCACTTTACACGTGAGTGTTCTGTTCAAGCGTTTAGAATGTATTACATTAAGGTTGTTGGGTCCATGTAATTAAAATGTTAAACACCAATTGACCTATAGGTATTTTAGATCGTGGCGTCATCTCTGAAGAGAAAGATAAATAATGGCCTTCAAATAGCAAAGGTTCGTATGCATCAACGCAAATAGACCCAGATTTTACATTGTTCATCATTTAACGTAACAGCTGTAAGACCGCGGCCTGTCAATAATCGAGTTTGGTCAAGAAAAAAACAGTGGTTGATACTATGAGCAACGTTTCACGCCGTCGGGTCACTGTGACCTGCAATCAACCGAAATGTCCAAGCCTGATCACCCGATCCATTTAATCGGCTCTTACGACAAGTATAGGTTGCTCGGGATCTATTCTAGCCGGAAGCGCAACGGGTTTTTTTTTACGTTCAGGGGCTGAAACTGATGCTATGTTTCAGGAGCACCGATGACGCCGACCTCTATGTTGGGGCCATCAAGGAGGAGCACGTATCAGGGGGACTTGTCGGACCCACGTTTGCCTACATAATGGGTCAGCAGTACAGTGACATTCGGTTCGGGGATCGATTCTGGCACGAGACCACCAACACAACTATTGGCTTTACTACAGGTGAGGTGAGGTGAGGTGAGGTGATGTGCGGTGCGGTGAGCTGAGGTGTGGTGAGCTGAGGTGAGGTGAGCTGAGGTGTGGTGAGCTGAGGTGAGGTGAGGTGCGGTGCGGTGCGGTGAGGTGAGGTGCGGTGCGGTGAGGTGCGGTAAGGTGAGGTTGATAAGGTGAGGTGAAGTGCGGTGAGGCGAGGCGAGGTGAGGTGAGGTGAGGTGACGGGATTTAACATCGCTTTCAAGATTATTGCTCTTATACGCATGTATATGTGTGCGTGAGTGTGTGTTGCTCCTTGCACAAGTCAGGATTGATGTAGATTTAATAGTGCCAGCTCACTGAGATACCATGCCGCAGTGTACCTCACTAACACACAGTATACTGACTCCGAGCCGACCTTGTTTTGTCCTCTCATGCCGAGCAGGAAAACAACAAATACCATCTTTTAACGTCATTTGGAATTACGCTGCCGACATTCCGCTCTCCGGGCGGACGCTCAATCCTCTATACGACGGAGGTCGTCTTTAATACAATCATAAATGCGACAACAATGTTGTCAATCATTTAACGTAACTCATGTAAGGGTATGTTACCACCTTACAAATTGCTATATGCTGGATATTTTTATATATCTCCTTTTAGGGCGATTGAATAGCCAAGTAGATAAAGTATTAGATTGTCACGCCGAGGAACCGGGTTCGAGCATGGGCGGATGTGTGTGTGTGTGTGTGTGTGGGGGGGGTGTGTGTGTGTGTGTGTGTGTGTGTGTGTGTGTGTGTGTGTGTGTGTGCGCACCCCCCCCCCCTTTTTATTTCGAAAAAAATCTTTATTTCTGTATAAATTACCTCCAAAGACAATAAAAAGATCTTAATTGTGCACCCCCTCTTTTAAAAAAAGCTGTATCCGCCCATGTCGAGTCCTATCATTTGCACAATGTGCGAAAAACATTCATATTGCGCCACGCCACGATATCCGGATTAATAATTGCTTAGACACAACTCACTGAATCACCTTTTGATAGAGCTGCTACTATTTGCAAATGGTTGTGTATTTTATACAACTCAAAGGTCTATTTAGGAGGCTATCATTGATCCAGTTAATTGATTTGTAGTTGAATTATCTCCCCTTCACTGTTCTACCGTGTAACTGATACTTTCAGAGAAGCGATGTGTTAGTTATACATTTTCTTTTCACACATAGCCCCAAGTTGCTGAGGAACAGGACTTCAAGTATTTGTATAAAGCTTGCATAATTGTGCTGGATGAAATTGTCACTGTTCTACCATTTAATTGATACTTTCAGAGAAGTGATGTGTTAGTTATACATTTTCTTTTCACACATAGCCCAAAGTTGCTGAGGAACAGGACTTCAAGTATTTGTATAAAGTTTGCATAATTGTGCTGGATGAAATTGTCACTGTTCTACCATGTAACTGATACATTTAGAGAAGTGATGTGTTAGTTATACATTTTCTTTTCACGTGTAGCCCCAAGTTGCTGAGGAACATAACTTCAAGTATTTGTACAAAGCTTGCATAATTGTGCTGGATGAAATTGTCTGATGAACATTGTTCCTTTCACAATGTTGTTTTCAGAACATGATAGTCCAATGCCAATATGTCTCTCTGGGATATAATGACTATTAAGTCGAACAATTCATTCATAAGTTCTAGCTGATGATACTGGTGAATTTACAGCGAACCAGACATTACCTGTTATTTTAGACCAATACCAATACCAATTCTCAAGTATCCATACTGTTCCTTCAACAACTGCATATTTATGCCTAATGTTTCAGAGCAACTGGCGGAGATCCGCAAGGTGAACTTTGCTCGGGTGATCTGTGTTAACGCGGCCATTGCCACTATCCAAAAGGACGCCTTCAAAATCCCGAGCTCGTAAGAATGGTTTATCGTTCTCACATAAGTATATGCATCATTACTCCTTCAGTCTACTTTAATCAACATATGAAAGACTTTAACTTAAATGTTACATATATATTAACATATTGCCAACACGATTACTGTGTAATCGTCTGTTGCTCTAACGAACATGAGGGGATATAAGGCTAATCTGTATCTGAAATGACATAAGTCTGGGTGGTACGATCAGACCTGATTTGCGGTTTGTAAAATATGTGTCTGCAATAGGCAATATGCAAATAAATGCGGCAAAACATGTTCCATAATCATAAGAAATACGAGTCCATTATTGAGTATGATTCATGTGTTAATGATCAAATTCAAATAATGAAGATACCAGGTGTTCAGGAAAAGGCGGGTGTATCCTGTCCTACTGGTGGCATCCGTCACAAACACATGCAAAGGCGAGTCAAATGTTCACCGGAACAAACATGGGAACATAGAACATATAGTACAACACAAAATGGGGACTTGTAACTCAAACGCAACGTAAACGGTTTACCAAGTAAGTGTACTGTATTGGTTATGCTTCACAGGGCATGCTGCACCCACGTATTTTTATTCAATACATCTATCTCAAAACAGCCTGTTATAAATGTAAGGCGCCCCAACTCGTTCTTGAAATAGTTTATCGAAAAACAACGAGTATTTTGTTGCAAGAAGATTGCTATCGGCTTGAATACATTTGCTTATAGTCTACCTCCAACAGGGATACCCACGCATGACGGGACATTGCTTTACCGCCTGTCGACACCGCCACCACACAATCCACCTGCTTTTAGCAGTGATTTCTTATGATTATGGAAGGGGTTTTGTCACTTTTATAATACCCATGCACTAGAGACCTTCGTTCCTGACTGGATACACACACTTTAACGTGCACGGATATGGTCTAGTGATGAGAAATACATTTAAACAATCTGTGTGTTTAATCAGCATTTTCAGAGGGTTCCAGGGGCGGTCGGGTAGCCTAGTGGTTTAAGCGTTCGCTCGTCACGCCGAAGCCCTGGGTTCGATTCCCGACATGGGTACACTGTGTGAAGCCCATTTCCGGTGTCCCCCGCCGTGATATTGCTGGAATATTGCTAAATGCGGCGTAAAACCATACTCACTCACTCACTCACTTAGAGACCTTCCAAGATACATGGTGTGTGTGCTTTTGTTTATTAGATTAGCTCTTTCAAAATTAAGGCACATCCGAACTAAATCGACATAAAAAAGAACAGGATATGACCTATAACATAACAGTTAAATCTTGTTATCACAAAGTCCATAAGTAAAGGTTGCGACCACCGTTCCAGAGTCCAAGGGACTTGCGAAACCTGGGGAAATTGCGGGACATAAAGAATGTAACTTCGTGTCTCATACCAGAATTCAAAATGCAAACGTTAACATTGCAGAGGATCTAACGACGAGGTCTCCTGCCACAGCCTTGATGATATCGATCTCTCCAAGTGGGCGGAGTAACCCATGGAGATGTGTCCACCGTCAAGCATGTCGAACTCTCATGAAATAAAACAGTTCACTGCCTGAAATAAACTTTTCTTCACTATGCCTTAGACAAACGGACCACGAGGCCAATATCAACCTATTTCGAACATCACCTCTTTACGAAACCCAAACTTTCTATTGTTGATTTCAGATGTATTACTGATAAAAAGTAAGGATAAAACACGTCGTTCGCTTTAAAAGGAATATTGCTTATATTGTATCAAGTTGTGTTATAACAATAAAATGCAAACTAGAGTTGACTTCTTTACATACCTCTCACTATTCCTATTCATTTGAGGTTTGCAAGTACCAACATCGAAGTTAAAGATTTTTGGCTCCAGATTTTCCCGGGTTGCTGTCGCTTGTTTGTGGAATTCTCTCCCTCTCAAACTGAAATCAAAACCAACTCTCCTGTCTTTCAAATCCGGATTTAAAATTTTTCTTTTCTAACGTTACTTCCAGTGACATTCATTCAGACTCTTGTATATATGATTACAGATTAAAATTTAAAAAAGCAACAAAGAGGGTTTGGGTGATCCTGGCACAGGTCAGGACCCCCCTTGGCCCCTCTACACGCAGCCCAGACAGCGAATGGGACTACTCCCTGGAAGCGCTGCCTAGTCAAACCCACCCAGAACTTTTCGGAGAATGTGAAAACTCCCCAACACTGTAGCCTTCTGCATTACACAGATTGTCAGAAGGGATGTATTCCGGGTACTCTCCCAATGTCTGAGAACAAAGGAAATTCGGACAACTTGGTACTTGGGATGCAAGCGTGATATTTCGAGAGCAAGGTCTGCATATTTGCAATGTTTTTCCTGAATCTCGTCAATCACATTAGTGTCAAAAGGGACAGAAAATTCAATAATATAAATGATTTCATTGGATTTATCAAAAAGGAAAAGATCAGGTTTGTTGGCCTGGATAGGTCTGAGGCTTTAAACGGGTCTCTTCCAAAGAATTTTGTATTTATCATTTTCCATGACGCCCTCTACATATTCGTACCATGGATAGACCTCTGGGTCAAAACCACAAGCATGGCTAAGACGGTAAGAAAATAATCGAGCCACTCAATCATGTCGCTTAAGATACTGTATTTTAACCATAGCTGGACATCCACTGACAGTGTGTTGGACAGTCTCATTAAATTCATTACATAATCTACATTTCATATTTACATTTTGAAGCAAAATCACACATTGACGTTTTCGAGTGGGAAGTGACTGATCCTGAGCAGGCCAGTCGACTTCATCCAAACGAATCACTCTGCATGGTTGCTGAACTTCTCGGCACACTGCAAATAAACTCGATGCAGTGGTCCTTCAAATAGCCTCTCCTTGAGTCTGGGCCGACTTGATATGGCACTTCGCTTGGTTGTTACTCATTTCTGTACCGTCCAGCAATACAGAACCATCAACAAAATCAACACTGACATTGAGATTATGTCCCACATCCTTAGCGAAAACTGTGAAATGCCTTGTTTTTATCATGGGTCTCGACATGCTTCACAAGAGGATCATCAGACAAAGGTGCTCAAAACAATTTTATCATTAAGAGCTGTCCCATTATGATTCGTAAATTAATATAAGCGATTGAGGGAAGAGCGAGAGTGGTGGGATCTATTGTCTGACATGATTCTTTGTGTGATGGTGTCAATATGGTGTCCAATCAACAACACCAAAACAATAGAAAAGGACGGGTACAGTCAATTCCTTTCCATTGATTTAAGCCCCTGAACTAGAAACTAGAAACTAGAGACCAGTGAAACCGCCTTATATGTTTCATATTAAAACCTTTGTATAAAGATCGACAAAAAAGAGTGACAGATCACTGTCAATAAGACTGTATGACAAAAGGGATGACTTCCAATAGTCAACTTTCTTTTATGTCGGGCAATATTTCAGCCCTTGGTATCTACATATCACAACTTTTGAGGTACAATCGAGCATGCTCTTTCTGCCAAGATTTCAAAGAGCGTCATACGACTCTTGCTTAAAAGCTGTTTGATCAACGTTACAACATTCAAGGCCTCATAAAAGCTTTCAAAAGGTTTTATGTTAAACATGTGGGGGACATTTCCAAATTTGACGCATGAGTGACAAAAATGATGTCTGATGCAATTCCCTGTTTTGACTTGTACCATATCTTCCCGTATTTTTTCAAGTGAACAATTGATTTGCCTTTGCAAGTGTTTGTGACGTGAGCCAGCGGTGGGGCAGGATACACTCACGTTTTCGCGATCATCTGGTATCATTACTATTTGATAGTGATTCATAAACACAAGCTCATAATATAGACAGAATCGTAGATTAGACTCTGCTTTTGTGAGAGTTTTCTTATGATTGTGGAAAATGTTTTCTCGCAAAGGAAAGTATACACTTTCGTGGCGGCTAAAATGAAACTAACAAGAAATGGTTATTCTATGGTGACATATTTGATACGGGTATCATGGTTATGTTTTGAACCTTAACTTTGCAGTGTTTCGGCGACTGTTTTCAGCCTAGTAGCGTTTTGATAACGTTTGTAAACGTTTTTGGTCATATCTAATTTTCAAGATTTCAGGACATGTCTGACGAACCATTTTTGTTTTAAACCTGTGGCCTAACTACTTTACCTTAGCATTTGCAAAAAAGGAATCCCAAAACAAAAACGCAAATACAAACGGGAGCGTAAATATACTAAAATCTTCACACACGAACAACGTGTCCTTGAACCCGCATCTTCATAATCAGTCATGGATAACACGTTCTTTATTTATTCTATGTGTCAAGTTTATCAAAGGCTCCATCCCAAGGTCGATGGTTAAATGTAGTGCTTTTGCAGGCAAAAATTATTAAAATGCATAGCCACAATGTTGATGCGCCTGAAGGAGTCAACAAAAAGACCTACCCGAGTTTGAAAAGAAACAGATGCACATGAACGAGCACGAAAACACTAATAACGATTAGATTACTTGAATACACTTCAGATTCATACGAAGTATGTTTCAAATAATGTTTTGTAATATTCCAGCAATGTGGCGATGGACAATGATGGGAACGATACCGTGCCTTCGGGGTGACCGAGAGTGCTTTACCCACCAGGACATCCCACCTTCTCTTTAAAGCGCACAGAAACACCACACATGCTCAGGTGATATCTTATTGGGAGTTGAAAACATTTCTTAAATATAAAACGCCAGAGAATAACCATTATCCCGTATCCGCAGAAACATATTCCATTGGGCGGAAAAGGCAAACTAGCCTTAAACATTATATTTATGGATCACTTATAAGCATTGATGACACCAGGTGTTCGAGAAACACTGCGAATAACCATGTAAAAAGATGAAGAAAGACAAGTTCTATGGATGAACAACTTCTTTATTACAATTAGTGCGACTTGTCGGTGTAGATCCTCACACCTTTATCAAGCAGGTGATGATGAGGGTGTTAGGATCTACACCGAAACGTCGCACTAATTGTAATAAAGAAATTGTTCATCCATAGAACTTGTCTTTCTTCATCACACCAACTTCTAAATGCCACTGAAAGAAGTCATGTAATAAGATTACAGCTTTGTCAGCAGTATTTCGCTAATACCGACACTTCATTGATATGAGAACGATGAAAGATACTTTTTTTATTCGTATGTCCGTAGATCCCTTAATTTATACAACTTTTATTAACTACATTGTAACACAAAGGTGCATATTCTAAACGCAAACTTAAACACGTTTCGTATCCCACAATTTAATCTAAACCTGCTAAGAACCAAAGTCGTGTTTATGATGTTTAAATTCACGATTGGCGTGTGTTGCCAAAAATTTGACCTGGTATTGCTGGTATGCGATATTGATGTTGTAGACGGTAGTACGTTAGTCGGACAATAGGACACCATCAACACAACGGGCTTCCAAATTCAAACATGTAAGTTCAAATAAGGCTACAATAGATTGCGTCCCAATACTGCTTCTTTTACCAAATAGAAGTGACCATATAAAAACCATTCCATATTCATAAGAAATCTCTGCCCAAAGCAATTGACTTGCCTTTGCAGGTGTTTGTGACGGGTGTCATCCTTGGAACAGGAATCGTTCTGTGGACTTCATTTTAACAGAGTTTTTTTGTGAAAAAAATAAAGTACAGCCGCATATAGAAGTAAGTACATTTGTAATCGTTCTATGGGCGACTCTGCTTTTAGCAGAGATTTCTTTTGATAAAGAAAAGGGGTTTTGTTGCTTGGATTTATGCCAGAGAAAGACCGAGAAAGTATGTATTCGTGAACTTATTGTTGCACAAGCCTTCTCGGTCATGCTTTCAGCCTGACATACATGTGAGTTAACGCCTAATTTTTCATAATTCATGACAAAATAGGCACCGCTACCGACAATACACACAACGCATTTACACTAGTGTATCAACAGAACGCCTGGTATGTGTTTCAGTAGGGATTGCCAGAACCAAAAACATGGACAATAATGTTAGTGTGTGTAGTAGAGTGAAAATACAATACCTGGAAGACTTCATGCTCAGCTGAAAACTGTGTTTTTGTGGAGAAAATCCCGGGTGATCAAATTGTTGTGTTGCGTACAGCTGGTGAGGATCGATTCGAGAACTGGAGAGAATATTTTACTTTTTCAATTGTATTTAGGTTTATTCATGTTTATGACTAAAATGTACTTTCAAAGAGTTAACCTTAATGAAAATGTAAAAAAGTAAATAATTCAAAACTATATTAAAAGCACAGGATTATAGGTAATGGTTATTATTACTTCATAAGTCGTCAAAATATTACTTCATACGTCACAAAATTGTTACTTCATGTCATCAATATATTGCTTCATGTTATCAAATTATTACTTCAAACGTCAATGAATTATGGCTTCATACGTCATCAAAATATTTCTTCATAAGTCACAAATGATTACTTCATATGTCATCAAACTATTACATCATAAGGCATCAACATATTACTTCACAAGGCATCGAATTATTACTTCACACGTTAATAAATTTTTACTTCATATTTTGTGTACTAGTTTAAGTGATAAGTATAATCCCATAAACGAATGAGAAAATTTATCTCCGTAGTTTTTTTTCATTGTTTCAGAAACTGCCTTAGTGTTTCTATTCAATCTAAGTCACGTAATGGTCTGTCAGATCCCTCCGTGGTTTTGTTCGCATTTAATTATCAAATTTTTCAAAATATATTTGATATCTTTCCACTTTACAGTAAAAGTATGGAGGTT